AACAACTGCAAATCAGATGGGAAGTCTGGAGTCGCTTGTTGGTGCCCGTGGCTACGGGAAACACCGACCCGGCTAGAGATTTAGCATGGCCCAAACACCAGACAGCAAAACCAGGATAAGGCATACCAGAAATGCAAAACTATATAAAAAAACCTTTTAAAAACCTCATGCTCACCTGGTGGGATGGGTGCAGAGCAGAGGGGCCTTGCTGATGGCACCAGAGGGTACCACCAGCTTGCCTGCCCCACCCTGTGCTCACTTGCCTGGTGCATCTTTGTGTCCCCTTCACACCTGCTGTCTCAGCACGCCCAGGTAGCTGGAACAGGCAGTTATTTACCTGTTTGAGGCATTAACAGCCCAAGTTCCCATTCCTCCTCAAGGGAACATCCCCAGCCCTCCTGCATTGCCAGAGCCCAGCTGCTGTGTGGTGCTTTTGAGTGCTGAGCAGTTCCTGGGGAACAACCCTTGGCCCTTGAGGTCCCACCAGTATTAGTTCACCTCGTGGGCCATTGCCACTAGGTCCCACCACCCTGTCAAGAGGGACCAGGGCAGGCTGAGAGGCTGGTGGCGGGGGCAGACCTTTGATGATACCCTCAGTTCTCACCCATCACCTCCCTTCCTGATGTACATTCATACCTGCTGCTCACTCCACTCCTCACACCATGACCAGCCCTCCCAGCTGACGGGCTCCAGGCAACTGGAGGGCCTGGGACACGGGCAGGATGAATGCCAAGGATGCTGTGCAGGGCAGCTGCCTCCCAGCAGAGCCAGGAAGCTGCTGAGTGCTGCAGCTCCTGGGAGCACATCTAGACAAGAGGCGTGAGGCTGGCACAGCAGGGTGGCTGCTGGAGGGGTCCCTGTGCGTTGACTAGTCCAGCTCCTCGTGGAGCCAAACCCCAGGAGCTCTGCTCCCAGTCCTGAGAAGGTCATGGCCTTGCTTCTGAGGTACCTCCACAATGCAGGGAAGGCAGAGCTGCCATGGCAAGGAGCCCACCTCTGGCCTCCTGGCTCATCTGTGCCATGAGGAACCAGCACTGCAGCTGCCTTGAAGTCAATGGCTCAGTTACTGGGCATGGACGGGTTCTGGTGCATCAGCTGCTACTCCCAGCCCTCTGTCCAGAGGTGTCCAACTCACAGCCAGGCTGGAGATCAGCTCATGCTCCCACACCTGAGAGCAGACACATCCTGTTAGCCAGCACCCACACACCTCAGGGTGGCAGAGTCCAGCTGGGATCCCAGCCCTGGGAGGAACACAGAATCCCAGACTGGTTTGGACTGGGAGGAACCTTAAAGATCATCCAGTTCCAACCCCCCTGCATGGGCAGGGACACCTCCCACCAGCCCAGGCTGCTCCAAGCCCCATCCAACCTGCCCTTCAACACTGCCAGGGATGGGGCAACAAAGGGGGGCAGTGAAAGAGAAATTCAGGGTCACAACCTGCTTGTACTGACACTATTTCAGGTGTCTCCAGAAGGTGGAGATGGTTCTGCTCATCCCACGTGGCTGGTGGGCAGGGACTGGGTTGAAGGATGAGGTGAAATGCAGGGGAGTGGGGCTGAAGTCCATGAGAGTTTTGGAAACTCCAACCCCCATAGGAGACTCTCTTAACCCTTGTGTCACTCCAAGTGTCCCACCAGGGCAGGGAGGAGTGGCCAGCACTGTCCCTGGACCAAGATGGGCCAGGTTGAGCTCTGACAAGGTCCCATCTCCAGCCTTTGACTGTTTAAGGAAGGTTATGGGGGATTCTGCCCCATCTTCATGTCCCTTGGCTGCAAGACACCAGAGATGCTGAGGTTCA